AAACTTATTTTATTAAAAGTAAATATTCATTTTTTCTTATTTAAATTGTAGCATATTACTATAGGAATTTTTTAATTTGATGAATTCTGTTAGTCAAATCAAAATTACATTTAAAAAATTTAATCAACGTTGACGAGTCTTCAAATCATTGAAGCGGTCAGATCTCGCGACCATGCCGCTATCAGTAGCTGATATTAGGCCTAGGCAAGTTTGTCATTTTTCGAAAGTATTTTTGTAATATTGACAAAAATAAATTATACAGCCAATTAAATATTTTATTTTATTTTTTTTTTTTTGAAAAAATTGGGCAAACCCATTTCATTGACTAAAGATAATTAATTACATGAGGTTGTGCTGAAACCAACGCAGCAAATTTTTTTTATTAGGTAGGTAAAATTTTATTAGGTATCTTATTGACATGATTCCAAATAAGTCACAATTTCAAAATTTTAAGTTCATTTGTGTACAACAATATTGACATGTTATTGTTAGAATATACCGACAACTAAGCTAATCTACTTACCGTTCGATTATTGGAGGTCATTTAAAAAAAAAATTCTATCCATGAGATTAAGCATCACATATAATGAGATTTAGCAGTAATATTATTGAAGGACTCACTCTATCGTCAGAGAGAATATGAAGAACTAAATTTCTTGAAACCTCCAAGACTTCTTATAGTAAGGATATTACAATATGTTTACTATATTGATTTACTGGAAGGAAGACAATCATTTACACTAAAAAAGATGAGCATCATCACCATTTTCTAACATTCGATAACATATATTATAAATTGCATTGCATTACAAATATTACTATGAGCATTTAATTTATAAGTTGTCGGTTATATTTGAATGCTCTTGTTGAGAGAAATACTATATGTCCGAGATCATCATTTTTCATTAATGTTTTTTAGTGATGTTGAAATTAAATTCTTCTTATGAAAATTATTCATGATAATCTAACTATCAAATTTTAGATTGTTCATTTAGGCTGAATTCAATGTGTCAATGTCTTCAACATGGCACCGCATGCTTGCTATAGTTGGAGGCTGTTGCGAGGCAATTGATTGCTGATCACCACTAGAACAACCAACCAATAATTCGAACTAAACCTAGACTTGTTTAGCTAATTAAGATAATCTAATGACAATATCATTTGGTCACACTCTACAATCAAAAGGGAGTGATTTGGCCATCCTATTTAGCCAACTTACTTAACAAACTTTAGCATAAATGATATAAACAACAATCCCATATACTATAAACAAATCATAAGTCTATAATTGATAGATTTAAAAATAGAGAAATCACAATTTCACAAGGAATTCTAAAGCTCTAACCCATATTTTGAACTTCCAGTTGGCCTCCTTTGGTGTTAGGCTTCTCATATGCCACTATGGTTAGATGGCCTTCTCGATCTCCTAAGTATAGAAGAATCACATACTTCTAGCCGTTCTAACATCCATTTTCTGATGAAGCTCAAAGCTGATTCTATTATTGACCTTTAACCCCATTTTACATAACTATTTTAGCCACCACAATATGGAACAACCTATATAAGTCCTTGCATCATAATCTCACCTTTTTTCCATTATTTTAAAGGTGGAATATTATAATTACATACTTATGCTAGTAGAATTATTTCAACTAAACTAAGCCCCATATATATATATATATATATATATATATATATATATATCTTCTCTTATTGCTTTATTCTACTTATTTAAAGTTATAAATAATCTTCATATAAGCCAAAGTTATTAAAATTATCTTTACCACCAAATTTTTTGCTAATGTGCAATAAATATTACTAAGTATTAATGGATTAATAAGGCTATTATGCACAAACCAACTAAATATGTTGTAGAGTTCCACAAATTGAGTACCCAATAGAATATTCTCATTTGTTAGGAACATGTAGCTGAGCATTACTAGCATGTAATAATTGGTGAGTTTTATTTATCAATTACCCTCTATTAAGTTTTTCATTTACTCTTAAGTGACATATTCTCGATAGTATTATTAAATACTCACAATCAACTTGTACTGATTAGAAATTATGACCTAAAAAATTAGGCTCATATTAATGGTGAGTTGACCATCATTCTAAATTAACTTAAATCAGTATAGCCCGTAATATTGATACCCTTGTAGCATGATTGTACAAACAAAATCTAAAGTGTTAAAAGAATGGAATATAGAGATATAAGATAAAAGAAAAAAAAAACTTTATATGAACTAAAGTAGCTGCATAACTAAGTCTTTCCATTACTTAGAAAGATCATACTTGATTGTTCATACTCAATAATTACCAAAGAGATATATTATTGATTAAATGACTTATTAACTCCACTAATTAGAAATATGATATAATTACCAACCACTTCAAATAATAAAGGCTAGAAATTGAATAATTGAACGTTAAAGAATGAAAGGGAATCATAAGACGTAAGGGATAACTCATGATATTCCAAAACTTATCCCAACACTCAAAAGGATCTAAACCCTTACAGCAACAGAAGCATACATCTTTGAAATGACAAGTTGAGTGGAGAATATAATTGCAAATCCAAATAAAAGGGTTGTTTTCCTTTCCATGCATGGAACACATGCAACACAATATGAGAATGACACCCAGAGGACTACATGGGAACCAAACCTCATGTAGGAAAGATATTGTTCAAGATAGTCCAAAGAAAAGAATGATTTATATCACAATCCATATGTGTAAAACAACATGAAAATGGTAACATGAGACTTATATGGCAACAAAAAAAAGGAACATAACTCAAAAGAATAGTGTCCATACCAAGAAAAAGAAGCATGTATTATTACGCACCTCGTCAATGTGACTTATTTATAAAATTAAGATACAAATATTTCAAATAATTACAAAAAAAGATCTTACTGCCTTATCAATGGGAGTATTGTGCCATAAATGTTTAAATTATTCACACAAATAGATTGCACATAACAACACTATATACTTTACATAAATTTATACATAATATACATATTTTTTAATTCTCATAAACATATACGATTTACTTTTTTTATATAAGTCATGCAATGATGCAAACATCCATATCATCAATATATAGAAGTAAATTAAAAAAAAAAAAAAAACTAAAGTTCTCTATTCAAATTTTTTGAGAATATATATTTTTTTAAGAATTATTCCTTTATTAAATTCAATTTATGAAATAAATTTTAAAAATGTAACATTAGCTATCATCTTTGCAAATATTGAACCTATTTTTATGGGGCCACCTAAAGGAGTAGTATTGAGGAAGCATATCACACAAAAATAAGAAATATGATAATTAAGCAGTTGGACGTTACGAGTTTTAGAGAGGGTCAGGCAGTTTGCTGATGCCCATAATCAGAGGTAGAACTAGGAAAAGCTCAGGGTGAGCTTGAAATCTATTTTTCTTAAGAGAATAAACATTTTAACTATTTTGTCTACCTTCAACAAATAAAGTTGCACAAATTCTAAGAAAAAAATTCATTTTTTTATTTTATACTTAAAATTATGCATTTCACAATCTAAATTTGTCCACCTTAAAAAATGAGGTTAGTTCCGTCTATGCCCATAACTCTTAAGTAGTTATTAAGAACAAAGAAGGCTGGGTAGAGGCTATTTTGGTAGTTCTTTCAAAAAGGGTATTTATTATCTTATAAATCACTTAGTGAGTCTTATAAATATAATCATAAAATTCATCTAAGATACACAAATAGTAATAACACACATCACAATTAAGCCTCAATTTGAGACAATTTTTACCACAACTTTTTCACTAATTAAAAAAAAAAATTATACTAGAAACAATCATAAAAATCAATAAAAAAAATTCAAAGGAAGCCTATTTAGTGAGATAGAAGAGAGAGCAATCATTTTGGAAGCCCTAATTTACAACATTGTAAGATCTGAAATAATTTTCTCTTGATAATTAAAAAAATATATACAAGATAATTTTTTTTTCTTCAGATAATTAATTTTAAATATTAATAAAAATTATATCAAATCATTCAAGACAAAATGTTTTTCCCACTCCATTTTTGACGCGACGCCTAATACTTTTTCACCGCCGAATTGATGGAACAGTCTAAAGTGAAAAAAAAAAAAAAAAAAGATTTACCAAAGCAGTTAATTTTTAAATCTTAACAAGAAAATCTATTAAAGCGGGAAATAATTACATAAATAAGAGAAATATACGAAAAATAAAAAAGAAAATGTCGAGGAAGGTTAAGTAGAACTCGTGACTATTAAGACAATGCGATTAAGCAAGTAAAGCGTAGACGCGACTGAGATATCCGCAGAGGGGCGGCAGGAGGTGGCGACAACGCTCTTCAGCCGAAGTCAATCCAATCGCCGCCGCCGCCGGCGACGGCTAGAGCGTACAGTACGATATGGATTTTGACGAGCATGATGAAAAGCGTAGAACGCGACTGAGATATCCGCAGAGGGGCGGCAGGAGGTGGCGACAACGCTCTTCAGCCGAAGTCAATCCAATCGCCGCCGCCGCCGGCGACGGCTAGAGCGTACAGTACGATATGGATTTTGACGAGCATGATGACGGCGACGAAGAGATGGGTATTCCGACCTACAACCTGGGGCTAAGCAATTCGGGCCGGGCCAAGCCAGGCGGAGTAACAGATCTCCCTGCCGGTAACTTTAACCGCAGCGCCGGCAGCGGAGTACGTTACCGCGAGTGCCTGAAGAACCACGCGGTCTCTATCGGCGGCCACGCCGTTGATGGCTGTGGTGAGTTCACGGCTGCGGGTGAGGAAGGCACGATTGATGCCCTTCGCTGCGCCGCTTGCAACTGCCACCGTAACTTCCACCGCAAGGATATGGAATCCGGCGGAGGCACCGGCGGCGATCGCTCTGGTTTCCACTCGCCGTACTCTCCGTATTATCGGATGCCAGTGGGATATCTTCAGTATAACCAGATGGGGATGGCGGCGGCTGCTGGACAGCATCGGCCGATGGGTCCATTGGCACTTCCATCAACGTCAGGGGGAGGGCAGAGTAGGGAGGACCCGGAGGATGTCGGTGGTGGCGGTGGCGTTGGAGGACTTGGAGCATCGTCGTCGTCGTCGGGAAAAAAAAGGTTTCGAACAAAGTTTACTCCTGAGCAAAAAAACAAGATGCTGGCTTTTGCGGAGAGAATTGGGTGGAGGATTCAGAAGAATGATGAGGCGGAGGTTCAGCAGTTTTGTGAAGAAACAAGCATAAAGCGACATGTTTTCAAGGTTTGGATGCATAATAACAAGCATTCTATCGGTAAGCAAGCCATAGCTCCATCGCCTCCTCTTCCTCCACCACCTGAGTCCACCGACCATTAGGGTTTTCTTCCAGTATCGACTTCCTAGTCTCTCTCTCTCTCTATTTATATCTCTCATATAATTAATTTCTTCTTCTCTAAATTGCTTGTAGCTGTTTATCTGCAGGTTAGCTTTTGTTTGTTTCTGTTGTATCTGTTTTCTTTCAGGAGATCATGATGTTCTTGCATGTATGGTTAATTATATAGCTTAGTAGAGGGGGCCATTGCTCATTCAATTAGTACTTCTTGTAATTTTAGCTAGCTAGCTAGCTAGCTTATTAAGAGTTGGATTAAACTTAATGGTCCCAAGTAGATTTGTTCTTTTTCGTTTGGTTCCTTGCAAAATATTTTTTAATATCTATCTGCTTAATTTTCACCTTCCTGTAAGCTATATATATACTTCTTTGTTGACATCCTCTTCCTCTCGACGACGTCTCTCAAGCTGGTTCTTTGAAAATTATCTGAACAGGTATTTTATGCAGTTTTTCTGCTCACATTATGAACTCTGTATGTATCTGTGGTTTTTTATATCATGTTGAAGTGCTCTATTGATTAGAGGTGGAGGAAGAACAATAGCTCATTCCCTATCTTCTCCCATGGTTTAGCTAGATTCTCCTGCAGCTAATTAAGTAATCATTATTTATAAAAATTATGGAACGATAGAGTGAGCGAGAGGGCATGTTGTGATCATCAAAATTGGATTTTTACGAATGTATATTCATAAAGATTCCATTTTTATCAATGCATTCTCTCAAATCTCTCATTCTCCACTTTCCCTTCCACGTCTCGACCTATCTTCCCCCTCCATCCGCATCGATCCAACGTAGGCATGAGCTCAACCTTTTTGGTTTTATTATTAGTTGCCATTAAATCGTCAATTGTGTTGGTCAGTAACAGTGGGAAAAATGATTTGCTGATTCATGCGTCGCATTTAATATTACTTTTTTTTTTTCAACTTGTTGTGGGTAAGTGGAAGCAGCTCCCCGCCATTAATTCTGCACATGAAAACCTCTGCAACTCATTCTCTCTCTCCTCTCTTCATGTCATAGAACCCTAAAACCCGTCCTCTGACTCCTTTCCCTGTCTTTCTACTCCTTTTTACTCCACAGACGTGAGTCCTTCTGTGCCCTGAGGAGAGATAGAGGCAAGAAAGACCAAAGCGAGAAGATATACATTGTTAGAGATCCGCAGGCACAACCTTAACTTGTTTGTTGTCGAGTAATATGCCAATAGAGTTCGATCTGTCCTTAAACAGTTTCTGTGGGCTCACGACAACTAAATGGTAGAGTAGGGTTCAAGTGGTCAACAGAACGGTGGGCCGGAGATAAGTACGGGTGAGCTAAAAGCGGACCGGGAAAGTGACCGCAAACGGGGACCATTTCAGCTGGGATATGTGTCTTTCTTCTTCCATGGATCCATTGGAAAAACGACAGAGGGATTGAGATGACTTATATGGTGTTTTTTGGATTTGAATGGGTGGAGGTGGGTGAGTGGGTGGGTGTGCCTCCGATGAGGAGGGATGTCTCGATTCCTTGAGCTGTCTCCAAATGAAGAGAAGAGAAGGGAAGAGAAGCTTAATTTATAGGCTATTATGCTTGCTTGCTTTTTAGGGTTTGCCACCAAGAAGGTGGCAAAGAATATACAAACAGAGTTGGAAGAGACTCAAATGCTTTCTTTTTAGAATGTAAGAGAGAGGTTCTGACTTTTTTGTGGGTCTTAGCTAGCCACGAAATGGCAAATTATTACAACCAGTGTCTGGATTCGTCCGGACATCAATTCTGATGCGCTACGTCACCAAAATATATCGGGACTCGGTTTATTTGGGTGACATGGTTTGTTTGGATTTGGTGTCCGGTCACCGGACGTAATAATTCGCCCCACGAAATCATCATTTGAGTTGAGAATATTTATTTTAGCTATTTTTGTTTGATAATTATATATATATATATATATAATTTATTTTTAAAAAAATTTAAATAATTGAGGGTTGAATTCTCAATGAAATTTAGTAAAAAAGATTATTCCTTTTATTTTTGAACTAAGTTTTTTTAGGGCTATTTTACTAAATATGTTAATTCTGGCAGCGTCATGGATTTATATTTCAAGCTTTATGTATATATTTGGATGGATGCCATTGTCTTGAAAATTTAGATTTTTTTTTTTGTGCTGACATGAAGTTTTTCTTAATTTGACTATAAAGTTGTATGAATATTGTAGATGTTTTTCGTTAAAAGGTAGAATTCTCCTCTCTCCCTCTCTCTCTCTCTGCATATATGAGTTGACAATTTTCAAAATTAAATTTGGGATCATCCAAATTACAATTAAGTTAATCAAACTTATTGTCAAATTGAAAGTCCCGAGTAGACGAACCCAATGACAACAAAATTGGTCCAATTCGAGCTCAAATGAGTTCATATTAGGGGCCCAAAGCACATCTAGAAGGTTCAAAGTATAAATTGGATGACAAATGGTATCCAAATAGAACATGTTTATGGTCAAATTTAGCGGCTCAACAAGACATTTAATGAGCCTGACAACGGTTAATTCTGATATCATTAAGGAAATTAAATATTAAATAAATATTTTATGATTAAGGGAATTAATATGAGTTATTTGATGTAGCACTCCAAAATTATATTGGGTCTTCTTCATATTTATGGAGGATGTCACTCATAAAAATTTATAAATAAGCCTATGTTCTCTTCATGAAGAGACCATTTGTATGGAGATTAAAGAAAATTCTGTGGTCTCAAGTATACCAAAGTTCTACCCAAGCACCAACGTTGACGAACTCCATTAATCGTCATTGGACCATGCTCACTTGTTGACTGCCACCTGACCTACGCTCATTCGACTAAAGCCAATCATTGTCGGACAACCTGTAAAACCCTTCAAAAAAAGCTGATTTTTTTTTGTGCTGTTAGTCCCGTACGATCTGACTTTAGTACTGGACGAACTGAAGAAATTTGTGAAGAAATCTGCCATTTTCGTCTGTACGAACCTGGAGCAGTCGGGACGATCCGTCTGTACACACAACCGCCCATTCGCCGGCCGTCTTCGGACCCCTACTCGTTCGTCGACACTCGCTGTACCAACACCCATCTGTCTACTGTCGTTAGACCTCCGCCTGGTTGTGTATCACCAATCACCGTTAGATCTCTACCCATCCACTGATCGTTGCTAAACTGCCGCCTGTTCTTTAATCTTCGTCGGGTCGCCAACTGTCGCTAGACCTCCTTCTAGTTGCCATCAACACACCACTCCAACCAACGGTGCCAATTTAATATGGTCCCTCCGACCACCGTCAACCGTCGACTACAATCCCTGTGACCCTCATCATAGTTGACTATGGTCCCTTTGACCACCGTTGCCTACCGAATATTGTCCCGTCGCCCTCCAACTAATGTCTCATCGACCTCCGTCGCCCGCCAACTATGATCCCACTAACCACCTTCACCTGTTTACTATAGTCCCTTGGACCTTCATCACCTATTAACTATGATCTTATCGACCAAATGAACATACTAACACTTTATTTAGAACAACTCTCATATCAATAAATTCTTCCAACTCCCACCATATAAGTATGCTCTATATGATCTATATTTCCTACATTGAACCAGCGCCTTCCCCCAAAAGAAGAGACTCATTTGTAATCAACAATAAACACTAATATGATCATTTAAATTGAGTCATACTTGACTTATGAATCACGTTCTAAGAGTAAAAGGTAAAAGATGAGACATAAGATAACTTAGGCTTCATTTAAGATAATTTTCTTATTACTTTTAAAACATCTTTTTAATACATTTTTTTTAAACTAAAAATTATTCTATTAGGAAGTTGCTTTAGAAAATAATAAGTTTAATAGAAAAAAAAAATTAATTATGAAAATATAATGACAAAAAATTATTCCAAACAAAACTTAAATCTTCAAGATTTTCTTCATGAATTGTCCATAAAAGATCTAGTTGAGCCTGTTTTACAAAGATTGGCGAGTAGAATTTAGTTATAGAGGCAGCCCAAAGAGAAACTTAGAAGCTTAGAGAGACCCCGCCAGCTTGCTGATTCATATTTCAACTGATAACACTATTCATTTTGGACCGTTGGATGAGAGTTTTGGCTGTTAATTAAAAATTTTTAAGTTTAAAACCTGTATATATCATAAGTGTATAAATTTATCTAAATAGCTCAATTATTAAAATAAAAATAAAAAAATTAACTTATACTATCCATCTTCGATAACTCTGACGCTTATCACATCTTCCTTGTTATAGCTACAGCTCTGACCCCTTTCATTTAATGGCATGTACGTCGACAAATCATGGATAGTATAACATAATTTTGAAAGAAAAAAAAATTTTTTTAATTCAGTAAAACAAGTTCAATTAATTAATTAGTTACTTTTATTTCAAAATAAAGTTAATGAATACATTTATCCTGATTACGATATTCAAAAAGGTTAAGAAATCATAACAGCAATTTTAATAACTTTTTTAATTAATTCATTGAAAATTTTTATTTTACATTTTTCACCCAATTTAAGAAAAAAAATGAGAATATTTTATCAGTTCATCATTATAACTCAAGTTTATTTTAAGAAAAAAAAAACTTCAATCATATAAAAAGCACTTGACAATTAAAATTTTAATTATTCCTATATAAAAAAAATCAATTTGTTTTTTTAATAAATTATATTTATAATTTCATTTCCTATCTATCAAATCCTTCAAAACAAACTCAGCCCAAAAATCCAAATAGGCATTACTGAATGGCCACCTTTGAAAGTTAAAAAGGACCATTCTCAGTAAGCTTAAAATTTGAAAATTTTGTTACTTCTTAAAATAAATTTTTAGTACAAAAATTAAAATTTTTGTATTAAAAATTTTCTTTTTTAAGAAGCAGTAAGAAAATAATCCTAAATGAAGATTATATGTTTTAAAAATAATATATATTATTAGATATATATTTATTACTTCTTAAAATAATTTTTGTGACAACTATTTTATTACTTCTTAAAATAAATTTTTAGTACAAAAATTAAATTTTTGTACTAAAAAATTTCTTTTTTACGAAGCAGTAAGAAAACAATTCTAAATGAAGATTATATGTTTTAAAAATAATATATATTATTAGATATATATTTATGATGAAACGTCAAGTAAATAAATAGAT